TTTGAAGGCCGGTGCAAGATAAGAAATGAGAATATGGAGAGTATCTGGGGTCGCCTGGGTTTTGGTGAATTGAAACCATTGAAGCAGCATAATAAACTCTGAAAGGATTTAATACACAGTGAACACTCATGTACACTGTCGTTCCAGGGAATCCTGATGGCTGGAACCGAGGAGCAAAAAGCAAAATACTTGCCCCAACTGGCTTCAGGAGAGCATATCGCAGCATTCTGTCTGACTGAGCCAGGCAGGTCTGATACCATTACCACTAGATTGGACGTTCCATCCAATTCATGATGTTTGACCAGAATGCAATGAATGTCGTCTTTGTTTTAGCGGAAGTGATGCTGCCTCTATTCAGACTCGTGCTACGCTGACAGAAGATGGGAATCATTTCCTGCTTAATGGCTCAAAGGTGTGTATTAACCGTAATAAGTGGGCGTGCATACTACTAAGACAAAAATGGTTCCTTCAGCTGTTTTGGGGCTAATTAGTGGTGTCTGATGTATCGTTCTGCAAACGTATTTAAATCTACATTTGAGATCATTTGTAAACTGTGAGTTTTGAATACATTTTCTACATTAATTTTGACAAAAATAATTGTGGACTTGAATGAACATCAATCCATTTGAAATAGATTTGGGGAATTCATCAAGTCATCTAAAACTGCTCAGATGTACAGTTGTGAAAGTCTTACAGAATCAGTATATAACAATAATTGGTGAAAAGTCTATACACATTCATTACATGTCAAACTGATTCTGAATAAGCTTGTTGTTTTTGTTTTTAATTAATTTGTGACGGTCTTCAGTGCAGTTTATCTCCGATGCAGCATGGTGTCAAATCTGTAGCAATGAAAATCAGATGTATGCAGCAAAGACAAAGAAACTATTAGAACATGTTGGTGACGCTTACCCATCTTGGTGTGATTTTTAAGACGGACATCAGCCTCCAAATAGGGCTACAATGTGTAAACATGTATCTCAGGGTAGCAGAGCTCTACTGTCATCAGCCACCATATCTGGTGAAATGATAGTTGTTGTTTTTTGCATTAGAAGTAAAACATGGCATATTTGATACATTAATTTACTTTGAGTCCAAGTACTAACTTCATACAATGCTGTGAAAAAGTATTTGTGGCTTTTTTCCCCTGCTGTTTTTGTGTATATCTAGTACTAAATAATTTTAGATCTTCAGACGAAATACCACATAAAATCAAGGCAACCTCAGTAAACACACAATCACTATCCAACACCTATCACCTCAAACTTAAAATCTATTTGTGCCACCTTTAGCAGCAATAACTGCAACCAAACACTTCCGATAACTGGAGATCAGTCTTTCACTTAATTCTAGGACTAGGATTTACTCCTATGATTTGGATCATTGTCTTGCTGCATAATTCAGTTGCACTTGTGTTTCAACTTACTGACTGAAGACCAGACATTCTCCTTTAGGATTTTCTGGAATTCATGTTTCCCTCAATTATTCCTGAAGCAGCAAAACATCCCCACACCATCACACTTCCTCCACCATGCTTGACTGTAGCTATGTTCTTTTTGTAGAATTTTGTGTTTGATTTATGCAGATGTAACGGGATCCCTGTCTTCCAAACAGTTCCACTTTCGTGAATCCACAGAACATTTTCCCAAAAGGTTTGAGTATCATCAAGGTGTGTTTTGGCAAAATTTGGATGAGTCTTAATGTTCTTCTGGGTTAACAGTGGTTTTCACCTCACCGCTCTTCCATGGAATCATTTTTATCCAGTGTCTGATAGTGAAGTCATGAACTGTGACCTTTATTGATGCAAGAGAGGCCTGTAGGTCCTTGGGTGTTTTGTGACTTCCTGGATGAGTCGTTGCTGTGCTCTTGGAGGAACTTTGGAAGGTCAGACCACTGTGCAGAGTTTTTCCATTTGGAGATAACGGCTCTCGCTGTGGTTCTTTGGAGTCCCAGAGTCTTTGAAATAGCTTTGTAGCCCTTCCCAGACTGTATTTCAATCACCACCTTCCTCATAATTTCTGGAATCTTTTTTTTTTTTTTTTTTTGGCATAGTGTGTTACTGAGTAAGAACTTTTAACCAATTTCATGCTTCAACTTTTTTTGCTTCAGTAAATAACATTATCATTTAAAAACAGTTCTTTAAAAAAAAACTGAAAACGAACTATAAACATGAATTATAGATATGAACATTTGAAAGATCTGATGTTTGTTTGTTTTTTTTACTGTGGAGATATTGAGGGCCAAAGCATGGAGGAAAAATACTATTTTCAGCAGGCCATAAATTGGCATACAGCTGTGGACCTTCAATTTTAGAAGTTAAATACAACAATCACTGAACATTTCACTCTGGTGGAAATGACTTATGGAACTTGCTACCTTTTCTTGTAGCATTCGTTTTTACAGGGCCACAACTCTTTTTATGCCTCTATATCTCAGGATCTAATGCAGATACAAGTCTGAAGTTTTGTACACTATTTATGACATTATTTCCAGAAAGTATGAAGATATGATCAATCAGGAACTTTTCTTTCAACAATTTTCCACTTACCCCAAATATAGTCAGTCAGCCAAGGTATATTTTGGTTCATTAGATTTGACTGAATTTACGAAGCCAGTGTAGCTAAAAACTGATGGTCTATCTCACTCAAAAATCTTTTCCAAAAATGCATGTCAAAATCTTGCTTTTGCTTGCAAAGCTACATAAACATCATATTTAAATGGGAAGAGTCCCGCTTGTTGTTTTTTGAAATTCATTGTTTTTAGAATGGCATCCTGTACAGTGAACTTCCAGATTTTCTGTACAGTTCTACCTCCATATTTTAGGAAGCTGGGATTTTTTGGTATATCAATTATATGTTGAGTGAAATGTCACCTGCAAGTCTGCATCACATTACTGCAGATTTTATGGAAAATGTTTTAGCTGCGATAGACCTAATTATTAGCTGATTTATTTTCCTAGCTTCATACAGAACTAAAAAAGATAAACGCCCTGGCTGATCAACTGCTTTTAGTCTAAAATTAAAGTTTTTGGCTGTATCCCTTTAAGATCTGGATTTCCAATGGTGGGATGGCAGACATCATGACAGTGTTTGCAAGAACAGAGGTGTTGGACAAGGATGGGCAGAAGAAAGACAAGATAACAGCCTTCATTGTGGAGAAAGCATTTGGTGGGGTGACCAGTGGCAAACCGGAGGACAAGCTGGGAATCAGAGGCTCTAACAGTTAGTTCAAATCCTTTACAATGTATACAATGGTTTAAGTTGTCTTTAAGTTAATATATGGTGGAAATTTGTCATACTGAAGTTTGTAGTAAATATTTTTCATTGTAAAAGAGAGGTATTAGTTTTAAAGTGTGGATGAGCTCATTCAAGAGATGTTTGCATTTCCATTTCCATCACTGGTACTGGTCTTTTACTTAATGATTTTCCTTTTGTTTGGTTTTTTAGCATGTGAGGTGACATTTGAAAATACGAAAGTGCCCATAGAGAATGTGATTGGTGAAGTTGGTGGTGGATTTAAGGTGATTACACAGCACCATACTGAGCAGCACTTTGCAGTATTTAAAACGTGTCATGTTTAGCATATTACCGTGTTGTGTTTGGTATGTTACTGTATCATATGTTTGTGTCTCCACAGATTGCTATGAACATTCTGAATAGTGGGAGGTTCAGCATGGGAAGTGCATGTGCAGGAATGATCAAGAAGCTGATTGGTATATAGATCTCAATGGAAAACAAAGTTGTTGTTTTTTCTCATTAAACAGACTGGATCATGCAAAATAATCCTCACTTTGTCTTACAGAGATGACGGCAGAATATGCAGGCACACGGAAACAGTTTACCAAGAAGCTTGCTGATTTTGGGATGATTCAGGTGTGTTGGGCATCATCACTGTAGGCTAACGGCCATTAGTTGGTTGTTATTAAACAAATAGTATTTTTGGTTGGTTTTTGTTCTACAGGAGAAGTTTGCCATCATGGCCCAGAATGTGTTTGTGATGGAGAGCATGGCATATCTGACTGCTGGATTGATGGACCGGCCTGGAGTTCCTGACTGCTCTGTAGAGGCGGCCATGGTGAAGGTAAAGTTGTTTAATCACTCGTTGTTTGGCTTTCTGGTTCCTTCCTATCTGTGGGTTGTTATTTTTTAGCTATCATCAGTTAGCTGTTTAGAAGTGAAGTTAAAGTGTTCAGAGAGCTGCGGTTGGCTGAGGACAATTAGGAAAGTCCATGACCGCAAAATTAGCCATGGTCTTCGGTGGAAAGGCTGGCTTGGTCTCTGTCCCTATCGATTCAGAACAATAGGAGAGCACGGTCCAAACCTGAATACTTTTTGCAGACATTTGGCTGCTAAAGACACTTAGCTGTCCGATGACGTTAATGATTAGCACAGAGCAGACCTTCGCTTTCTCTATACTGACAAAATAATCAATAAAGTTTATTTTATGTTTATTTTAAAATCCATCCATCTTCTATACCGCTTTATCCTTTTTAGGGTCACGGGGAACCTGGAGCCTATCCCAGGGAGCATGGGGCACAAGGCGGGGTACACCCTGGACAGTGTGCCAATCCATTGCTTTATTTTGAAATATAAGATTTAAATGTATATAACTTAGAATAAGGGGGGGTGGAGTCAGAAACAAATAAGGTTTAGCTTCGCTGTCACTAATGATGAATTCTACAGGTTTAGAGCTTAATTTACAAAAATGAATAAACCTTTTACTGATCGCCCTTATACTTCCATTATAAGTTTGGAGTAAACAGGTTTTCAATTCTTTTCATTGTATAGGAAAATGCATCAATATGATTATTGGCTGTAGTAATAAAATGTACACTATAGATACAGTAGTTTAGGAGATTAAGTTGAAAAGAAGAGAATTCCTTTATGGAGTAAGTAGCTACAAGTCGCATCCTACACAGACACCTGGATATTGAGTTACTTTTCTGGCGTAAAATGAAACGTATTACTGAAAACAAAAAACAAATTTTGAAAAATAACAAGGTGCACGGGGGCTTAGTGGTCAGCACGTTTGTCTCACATTTCCAGGGTCGGGGGTTCGATTCCCACCGTGGCCCTGTGTGTGCGGAGTTTTACATGTTCTCCCTGTGCTGCGGGGGTTTCCTCCGGGTACTCCATTTTCCTCCCCCAGTCGAAAGACATGCATGGTAGGCTGCCTGGCGTGTCTAAAGTCTCCGTAGTGTATGAATGGGTGTGTGAGCGTGTATGTGATTGTGCCCTGTGATGGACTGGCACCCTGTCCAGGGTGTACCCCCATGCTTCCTGGGATAGGCTTCAGGTTCCCCGTGACCCTGAAAAGGATAAGTGGTATAGAAGATGGATGGACAAGGGAGTGCTTTTTAGAATGGTTGCTTGGAGGCAACCCTGTATGATGGAAAGAAATGAATAAAAGCATCATTAAAACAATTGTATTGATTTAAACATTTGCTATGAAATTTATGAGTACCTATAAAGTATATAAATGCTAAATAAGTGATTATGAACCATGTGATCTGATTATTGTTGAAATAATGTGATGACTCCTGCATCTATTCCATTGTTATGTTGCTTCTAGACAACAAACACACTTAAGCAACTTTTTTTCATGTTTACAAACAGGTTTTTCACTAACAAATGTAAATCATATTTTTGTTGGGTTAGAAAATCAAGAGAGCGTTTTTCTGAGGGCAAATCTGTGGTGCACTATGCCACCAGTAATGGCCTCCGAGAAGCCTCCAGAAAATGGCCTCTAGGAAGTATTGTGACCAAGTAAAAGCTTTTTATTAGCTGATTCAAAGCCATCCATTCATTATTAAACCATTCATTATCAATTAATATGTATAATATTTATAAAAATAAAAAAAATAAAAAGTGAAGAAAATTGGTTTGTTACCCTGAAGCAACAGCATGCAATAGAACCACTGGGGAATATGTGGTGTGGTATTTTAACGTGTGTGTGTGTGTGTGTGTGTGTGTGTGTTTCTGCAGGTGTTCAGCTCTGAGGGTGCTTGGGTGTGTGTGAGTGAGGCATTGCAAGTTTTGGGAGGGGTTGGATATACCAAGAACTACCCTTTTGAGCGCTACCTCAGGGACTGTCGAATCCTGCAGATCTTCGAGGTATTTTTGGACAAAGATTTCAGTTGTGTTCTACACATTGGTCCACGTCCATATTTCCCACATATTACACATACTGAGATTTATCAAGCATTCATTAATTTGCAGTAATTTATCTGGGTTGTGAAGTGGATTTTTATTTTTTTCCCCCAAAAAATGACTTGAAAGTGATGTGGGAATTGTAATCACTTTCTCCATATCTTGACCACTAGAGGGCACATGAAGCTTAATATAGGTTTTTTTTGTTTGTTTGTTTTTTTCCTGGTTGTAGGGAACCAATGAGATCTTAAGGATGTACATTGCTCTCACAGGAATGCAGTATGCAGGCAAAATCCTAACAGGAAAAATCAAGTATGTATAAACTGTAAATATGTCTGCTTGACTTGTCACAGTTAAAGAATGCAGCAAGGTAAACTGTGACTGTCTTTTCTAGGGAGATGAAAAAAGGGAATGTTGGTGTGGTATTTGAGATTTTGGGGAAGAAGCTGAAGGACTCTCTGGGGAGGACCGTCGACTTTGGCCTGACTGGCAAGGACGGCATGGTGCACCCCAGTTTAACGGTATCTAAATTTGATGCTTTACTCATGCATTCAAATCATAAATCTTTGGTTATTAATCCCCACATATATACAGTGGTGTGAAAAAGTGTTTGCCCCCTTCCTCATTTCCTGTTCCTTTGCATGTTTGTCACACTTAAGTGTTTCGGAACATCATACCAATTTAAACAATAGTCAAGGACAACACAAGTAAACACAAAATGCAATTTGTAAATGAAGGTGTTTATTATTAAAGGTGAAAAAAAATCCAAACCATCATGGCCCTGTGTGAAAAAGTGATTGCCCCCTTTGTTAAAACATACTATAACTGTGGTTGTCCACACCTGAGTTCAATTTCTCTAGCCACACCCAGGCCTGATTATTGCCACACCTGTTCACAATCAAGGCATCACTTAAATAGGAGCTGCTTGACACAGTAAGGTCCACCAGAAGATCCTTAAAAGCTACACATCATGCCGAGACCCAAAGATATTCAGGAACAATTGAGAAAGAAAGTAATTGAGATCTATCAGTCTGGAAAGGGTTACAAAGCCATTTCCAAAGCTTTGGGAATCCAGCGAACCACAGTGAGAGCCATTATCCACAAATGGCGAAGACATGGAACAGTGGTGAACCTTCCCAGGAGTGGCCGGCCGCCCAAAATTACCCCAAGAGCGCAGCGATGACTCATCCAAGAGGTCACAAAAGACCCGACAACAACGTCCAAAGAACTGCAGGCCTCACTTGCCTCAGTTAAGGTCAGCGTTCATGCCGCCACCATCAGGAAAAAACTGGGCAAAAATGGCCTGCATGGCAGAGTTACAAGGAGAAAACCACTGCTGAGCAAAAAGAACATCAAAGCTCGTCTCAATTTCTCCACAACACATCTTGATGATCCCCAAGACTTTTGGGACAACATTCTGTGGACCGATGAGACAAAAGTGGAACTCTTTGGAAGGTGTGTGTCCAAGTATATCTGGCGTAGAAGGAACACTGCATTTCATAAAAAGAACATTATACCAACAGTAAAATATGGTGGTGGTAGTGTGATGGTCTGGGGCTGTTTTGCTGCTTCAGGACCTGGAAGACTTGCCGTGATAAAAGGAACTATGAATTCTGCTGTCTACCAAGAGATCCTGAAGGAGAATGTCCGACCACCTGTTCGGTACAAGCTGAAACGAACTTGGGTTCTGCAGCAGGACAATGATCCTAAACACACCAGCAAGTCCACCACCGAATGGCTGAAGAAAAACAAAATGAAGACTTTGGAGTGGCCTAGCCAAAGTCCTGACCTGAATCCTATTGAGATGTTGTGGTATGACCTTAAAAAGGCCGTTCATGCTCGAAAACCCTCTAATGTAACTGAATTAGGACAATTCTGCAAAGATGAGTGGGCCAAAATTCCTCCAGGACGCTGTAAAAGCCTCATTGCACGTTATCGCAAACGCTTGGTTGCAGTTGTTGCTGCTAAGGGTGGCCCAACCAGTTATTAGGTTTAGGGGGCAATCACTTTTTCACACAGGGCCATGATGGTTTGGATTTTTTTTCACCTTTAATAATAAACACCTTCATTTACAAATTGCATTTTGTGTTTACTTGTGTTGTCCTTGACTATTGTTTAAATTGGTTTGATGTTTCGAAACACTTAAGTGTGACAAACATGCAAAGGAACAGGAAATGAGGAAGGGGGCAAACACTTTTTCACACCACTGTATAATGAGAGAGTAACGAAACATGATTGAGTAACATGATTGACCATGCTGTTATATGAATATAATTTCTCTATAATATAATTGCTTTTCATGTTACTGAGAAACTGGAAAGTCGTCTGTGGAGAACTTATGGACCATTACAAAACACTGACCCTGGAGATTCTTTCTATAAATGTTAAACTAACTTCTCCTTACAGAATGCTTTACTAAATCAACGATTGGGCAATTTTCTTAGTTAAATGACAACACATTTTTAAGAGCCTTGGGTTAGGTGGGGTGTCCACCATACAGATCCCTGTGAATGAGCTGTTACTATAGAAACAATAACATATTAGAATTGAGCACATTATAGGAGTTTAACAATACACTCCGGTCATGATTCAATTCGATTCACGATACTGGCTACATCATTCGATTCTATTTGATAAAAAATAAATAAACGTATAAATTCTCCCAAAGATTTGATTGGATAAACATAACCTAGGGACAACGAAACATAATGAGCTCTGTACCAGTGCCTGAGGTGTCATTTTAACTGAAAATAGAGCTCCAAAGTTAGCTAAAAGAGAAGGCCTCCACGGCCTCCACAAAAGATCATCTGACCAGCATGCTCTCTGTATATTTTAAACCTGGTGGCACTGTATTGTGTGCCAGGGCTGTATTGATGCAGAAAATTACACCTATTGCTTTTTCAGTGAGTAAAACTGATCAAGTGTGACACAGTGAGTTGACTGTTCTAGGTATGTTTAGTTTCACATTAGAGTACAGGATGATGTGCCTCTGTCTCCCACAGGAGAGTGCTAAGATGCTCGAGCAGAACGTGGCCTTGTTCGGCTCCACTGTAGAAAGCCTCCTCTACAGATATGGAAAGGTACATTTCTTCTTACTGAAAGCTCAATAAAAGGTCAAATAAAGGTTTGTTTATTTGATCCTGCTAACTTTGCAGCTCCAGAACATCTCTGGCCAGATTGCTCTTTCTCTTGCCCCTGCAAAAGACTTCCCTGTTCCATGCCTCACTTTTTCCTTGTATTTTGAACTTTTGTGTGATCACTTCCTCTGCCGATTTTTCGAATACTGCCAGAGAAAATATTCTATTGGTTTAACATCCCCGTTGCTGGTTGCCATAAGGAGGTGCAGGGTAATCAGTGTGGGTCTGTTGAGTACCGCCTTGCTATTCCCTTATTTCCTCTTGCACTGAAGTAATGTGTGGCCTCATGTGTGAGACAGCTGTCCCGCACTCTCCTCACCCTGTCTCCAAATCTTTCTTCCTTTTTTATTTATTTATTTATTTTTAAACGAAGGCAGCTATTCTCCTGAAATCGGAACTCTAGTCAGAAAGAGACATGATATTTCCGGGTGCTGTTCTTCTGGCTGATTTCATCAGTTTGTTTTCCTTTACATGTGAAAAACATTTAAAGCGATAAATCATCTTGCTACAACAGTCACATCTGCACTGTGCATGGAATGTCAAGTTCAAAATTCTATGTGCTATGAATGTGGCGACTGAATGAATTCTTTTGACACTTGCATGCTTAGCAACTGTACTTAACCTTTTTGCAACTGTTTGTTGCACTTGCCTTTCACAATGAACATTTCTCACGTCGGTCCATTGTGTACCATTCTGTGTGTTTTAGACTATAGTGGATGAGCAACTAGTGTTGAAAAGAGTGGCCGATACACTGATTAACCTGTATGCAATGACGGCAGTGCTGTCCC